TGTAGATTGCTGTGGTGTGAATTGCCGAGTGTCGGAGATATCACTTGCAGGGATGTCTGCCTTCTCTTGAATATAGTAGAACTAGAGGGCACGTGGCTTGTGGTGCTCAAAATGCCAACAAAAAAAAATTGAAAATCTAAGCAGCACTGTCCAAAAATCATGACCTGGTTTCTCAAGATAATCCACAGACCTTGTTGTGAGCAGTTTCATGTAGGAACTGTTTTCTTTCTACTGAACTACACCTGCCAACTGTATCACGGCACAGAAGTAAGCACGCATCTGCTTTGCTGGGGTCCAGACCTTTGTATCCTTCCACTCCACTGAGTTGACTGATTCATCTGGCTTCCTGACATAAAAAAGTGGTTCTCAGTTGAAATAAAAACACAACCAATGAGTGCAGCAGGAGACTGACAACATTGTCAAGCATTGTCAAGTGGTGTGACAGAACCAGTGAGGAGTATTAACATCAGTGGCGAGCACTGTATCCAAGACAGACACTGCCATTGAGGCTGTTTTAAATCGACATGTCTTCTCAGTATCGCCTGATATTGTAGTTTGTTTACTTTGCTCTACTCCATTCTTAGAACCTCAGCAAAGCAAGCATTTTGGCATGGCTACACATCAGTGTGGACTTAAAACGATGTTAGATTCAGACAAATACGTTGTTTTCTAGAGACTGGTTAAGGAAAATCAAATCCTCCTCCCAATGGAAATCGGTAAAGGTGGAAGCAATATCAGACTGGAATGGAGTGAAATGAGTTTACTATTCTGTCTGATGTGAGGCAAACTACTGCAAGCTTACATTACAGTTCAGCTTAGGAGAGCGCCATTTACGTTTACATCTTACACTGTCACATGCACAAGCCTCTCATCCATGAGTAGATGAATGCTTCCTTCTGCACAGTGATACTGTTGCAAAGTGTAGTTTGGTATTAAGAAAATAGTTCATACATGAAACTGTTTACAACAAGGTCTGTGGATTATCTTGAGTAATGGGTCATTGTTTCTGGAAAAAGACATTGCCGCTGAGATGTTTTCTTTGGCGTTTTGAATACCACAAGCCAAGTGCCATCTAGTTCTATTATATTCAAGAGAAGGGAGCCATCTCTACGGCCGATATCTCCAACACTCGTCAACTCACACCGAAACAATCCAGACTGATAAACAGCACTACAGGTAAGAGGAAAAATATGTTCTTTTGATTTTGAGATGAACGGTCTCTTTAAATATCAAGCAAGAAAGATGATGACAAACACAAAAAAACTAAATAGAATTTATAATTAGAAATAACAAACTAAACATCTGTATCCCTTGACTTCATAGTAATTTAGGCCCCACAGATCTGACTTGTGTTTTTCTCTCTGATACAAACACAGTGAATACAAGGAGTCAGACACTCTGTCAAAGAAGCATAAATTATTGCCGTTGCATCTTACAGACAGTGACGGTGATTTAACAGGACACCAACAGTTTCACATGGCTACAGCGTCAGTGACACAGTCCTGCGGGTCGTAGTGTAGCTCCAGGACACGTCTGAGTCTAGTTCACACAAATCCAATGTCATCACAATTTGCAGAATGTCCTGCTGCAGGTTTAAGTTACAGCGGAGAATGTGTCTCCATTTGCTGAGAGCTACTGTATCTCTATGAAATATTTCAACTTTTACAGAGTGGAGAAGTGACATTTTAACACACTGCTGCTAAATAATGCTGCATGCTGTAAACGCAGCATAGAAGTGTTGCTGTGACTATCCACGATTAGTTTTTAGGAGTCCGTCTGAAAGCAAACACAGTGCAAACAGGTTCACTGCACTAATGCTAAACTGTCAAACATCAAAGCACTCACGCAAGTGCTTTCATCACGGTGTCATACCTGTTAACAATCGCTGTCTGTGTCCCACATGAACACACTAAAGATGAAACAAGATTACATTGTAATTGTAACCCTTTTACCCATCTAAAGGTTGATATGGGTGAGTAAAATCAGGTCTCCTGGTAGTTTTATAGCCTCTGTAAATCAACAAATGAAAGCCAAGCAGACAGTCCGTAGATCAACACAGCAGCTCCAGCGTTCAGGTGTTTCACTGCACATGAAGACAGCTAGTCATATGCTCCTCTTTCACAATGCACACTCTCACCTTCTCACACTAACAGCTATGCTCTTATATTACAAAAAAAAAAAAAATACAGACTGTACCTGGGCTTTGTTGGATCCATTTTGTTTCACGCAGTCATCTTTGGTTTCTGTTAGCTTTCTCCTCCTCTTTCTCTCTGCTGGGATCAGTCCCTCCCTCTCTTCCTTTCACCTGCGCCCCTGCCCTCTGCAACTGGCCCGACGGGAACAACTGGATTTTGCAGCCAACAAATCAGTGCTCAGGACTGGTTAATGTGTCGCAGTTATGAGCGCCTAGAGAAGCAGAGGTGGTGACTGATTCCCTTGAGGATGATCTATTGTTGTTTCATGTCAATCAGAGTTATTGATCACTGAGCAAACAGGAGGAAATCATTTGTAAGAAGGGGGGAGAGGTCTCATGTGTTGTTTTTGCTCATTACACAGCAGAGAGAGATATGAAATGAACCGTGAGAACCTGGTGTTTCACAGCACAGTAAACTGGAAACCAGAGCAGGGCTCACAGGTAGAAAGAGGTGAGTTATGGGGAAGTGGAAAACCTAATAAAAATGTAGCTACAGGAAAGAGATAAAGATCCAAGATCAAGTCAGGTCATTAACAGGCTGGACGGTTAAATATATAGCAGGGAATATGTTGTTCCAAATGTGATTAATGTTAAAGCGTCACGCTGGAATGCAGACTGGCAGCGTGCCTGAGGTTAAATACAACATTACATCCTCATTAATGTTTTTCCTTCATTTACACTTCATCAGCATGCCCTAACATTCACTCTCTACCTGTTAATGACGGCTGTCTGGAGCCTCCAGACAAATATATGGCACAAGTCAGGCACACAGTTTAAGATACAAACATGCATTTATTCAAAATTCACATATAAACACAGTATCTTTTATATTCAGCTCAAAACTGATTATTCACTGGATAAATTGTTCTGTTATATAACATTGTAAAAGTGCTTTGGAATGACACGTCTTTAGTCTGTCTGAGTGTGACTGATTCATATCTGAATCTGCAGGCCGAGACTGGCATTATAAAAACTGGAAAACTGGGCTGAGGCAGACTGAGACAAGGCGTGTCCTGTTTTCTTTAACTGTAATGAATAATGCTCGTGTGATTTAGCTTTAAAAAATGCTAATGGGGCTGTGAAAAGCCTGTGAAAAGTAGCAGGGGTCTGGTCCACAATAGGAACTACAAACTTCCCTGGCTTTGTTATTGTTCTCATAAAATATAGAAGACTACCTGTTTAAACATTATTACCAGGAACTACTATTAAAACATAACCAGTTAATGGCAAAGGCTGCATAGTCAGAACTGGATTTTGCACTTCCCTGTTCTTAAAAAACTGACTGCAATGTTGAAATGTAAATTTGTAATGGTGAATATTGACAATAACAAGAATAGACTGCTGTAATTGGCGTAACTACATACCATATAGTACACACACTGGATAATGGTTTGTTGTTCAGTTAACACACATGAATACGAGTACAAAATGCAGCCTCAACACTCACATCACGAATATATGTTATATAAAATAAAAAGTGATCAGTCCACTATGATCATCATCAAAACTCTTATTCCCTCGAATTCCCAAAGACATACTGTACACTATAGTGACACCAAAAACACAGCGCACCTTACAGAAGGCTTCACCAGCCTTGGGAAATGTGCTTAGTAGCTTTCCTGCTGGGAGTTAGATAAAAAAGTTGTACCACTCTCTATTTAAATACCAAATACAAAGCTGGATCCCGTTAGCATAGCTTAGCATAAAGGGGGAAACAGCTAGCCTGGCTCAAGGCTATTCAAAGAAAGCTGGGACACGCTCTGTGGGAGCTATGGAGTATGACATGTGCAATGTAACTTGAGTTATGATGTTGGAGTGCTAGAAATAAAGGGATGGGGTCCACTTAGGTGCTCTTTTTTTAGAACTTCAGCATGCATCAGAACGGATGGCAGCCTATATGTAACATTTGCATACACAAAGCATTTGTTTGTGGTCTTTTAGTTCAGTCTATTTCAGTTATTACAGAAATGTATTTAGTACAAAAATATTCCGCCTTACTTGGCCGACTGTGGACACCTCTGTGAAACCAATCAATCATTCCTGTGGTCTACAATAGTGTGTCAGCTATTGAGCCTTTCAGCAAAAGCAGACCAAATTTGCTGTGCATGTGTTGTGACCCAGTGATAAAATGTTATACGACACTGTGACTCCTCTTTTTAACCTCCTTGGCCGGGCTCTGTCCTGTGATCCGCCAACTTACACCTTTAAAGCTCACTGCTCCCAGACAAGAAATAGTTCCAGTGTGTAACTTGGCACAGTGATAATGGCTATAAAGGAATATTTTGCCATTTTGGGAGATAGTCTGCACTTTTTAGCTTCCTGGAGGAGAAGTTGGATGAGTAGTTCCCAGGCAAACAGCGGAAAGTTCAAGGAACCTATAAGTGTTATAGTTTCTTTGGGAGACTCCAAGAAGTTAATTCTGCGAGACAAGAAATAGTCCAGTGTTACGCAATATAACCCCTATTGTCTGGATTGAACAAACGAGATAAAACACACAAATAAGTGAGCTTTAGAGGTGCTAGCAGGTGGATTTTGTCACTTTTGGACAAAGCCAGATTAGCTATTTTCATGTTTCCAGTCTTTATGCTAAGCTAATCTAACAGGTGCTGGTTCTAGCTAGGTTCTTTACTTGACAGACCTGACAGTGGTATCAATCTTTTCATTATCTCAGCAAAACCAATAAGCTAGTTCCCAAAATGTCTTTTTATTCATTAAAAATAT